CACACATCATTTCTACAACTAAATACTCGAACTTCAGTACATCACTTGCCAACTTGTAAGCGCGGAGTAGATATGAATCTCTCAATTTTTTTGGGCCCCGGGCCCCCGACCTCTTTGTGATGGTGTTCGACGGCGCCGTGGCGGCAAATAAACCTAGGAGGACGAGCACAATGACGATGTTCCATTTCATAAACTGCGTGATTCTCACATTCGGCCATCACGCCGTTTTTTAGTCCGCCACTCCTCTGTAAGCTTTTATAATCCTTTCATGGACTCATACTTTATAGATCTTTTATCCATCTACAAGCTCAATGTTCCTTTGTTTCACAACGGAACGGTAACCCTAGCCTCGCTTCTTTCGTACTAGGTTCGATTTTTGTGATCTCCTCAGTAGATTAGATTGAATATATGAACTTTTGAATTGGAGAACGGTAACTCGAATTTGAGATGCCATGAAATCTTGCGAATAGGTTGAATTGTGTTTCTCTGAATAGTTAGCAGAAATGCTGCATAATTTGAGCCTGTGAGAGATTTTTTTTTGTAGGATCAGTTCCAATTTGTTTGCCAACTGTTGGTAATTTCCTACTTTTCATTTAAGAAGAGAGAAAGAGTAATGAGTAAGTGTGGTTTTGTGAAACCTAGTTAGCGCATTTGAATTGTGATGCTTTGAATTTATTTGATATACGTGTAGTTCAAATTAGGGATGTCCAAAATGCTAGTTGTTCGATTTTGTTAGGGTTCATGATTAGCTTGAGTTCAGCTAGCTTTTATAAGCTTGCATATTTAACGAGCCAAACATGTACAAAGCTCCCTTTTCAGTTGTGTTTTGCTCTATAATAGCTTGAATTTGTTTATAAACATTAAAAAATATGAATATATACATGTATACTTATGTGTTTACATGTATATGTGTGTATATCTGGATATATTATGTATATTTATAGTCATATTTTTATTTATATGTATATATGTAAATACTCGTGGTGACATAAATATTTTATAATTTATATATGAATTGTAAGTAAATTTTATATTTGGTAATGGTTTGTGTTCAGCTCGATATTTTACGAAGTGGAACACAAACAAAATATTCTAGCTTCTTTGCTTAATAAGCTCAACAGAACAACACTTGAGCTCACTCAAGCTTGGCTTTTCACACCATTGACATTAGTTCAAATATATTTGATTGAAATTTAATAAAGTACATGATGTTGCAATTCTTGCTGTTTAAGGCTTGGAAATATGTTATAAGAAGAGCTTTGGCTGATAAAACTTTGCCTTGATTGTATCCTGTTACTTGGAGGTCATTTGTTTTGTCATTTATTTAAACAAGCTTCTTTGTTAAATTCCAATGCAGCCTTTGTTTGCAAAGAATATATGATGCTGTAGTTTTTATAGAGTTGGAAAACTTCATTGGCTTAAATCATGTATGTATGTTGGCTCATAATCATTATTAGGCATGAAAATGACCAGATTTTAGAGGTTTCTAATTTATTATTTATTTTGTATCCTTCTTAATTGAATGTTGAAAAGTAAAATAAAAAAGTTGTTTTCTTCTCAATTCTCATATGTATACTATTCGGTGTGGATTCTTGAAGCATTTTACAAGTCTTAATGAACACTTACAGGGCAGAAATTTCCTTTTGCCGACCTGAAACTTGGATCTCCCACTTGATGGTTTATATCTTTCATCGATCATATATATCATTTGTCTATCACATTTATCCTCGAACATATTGGTCATCGATCTTATCATATTAGACACCGGTCTTATCAATCATATCAACATTAATCACATCCATCTCATATAACACATCAATTCATTCATTTTGCTTTTTCTTACATCCATTTCATATCATGTATATTATAATAACAGGCATTCTGTACACATCATATACAACGATCATAATATGTAGATATATCGAATATGCCCATCAATATGCATATATTATGCCAAGATGCGTATCATGCTAAATAAAGTGTAATCATATGCATGTCATGTATCTCATATCCAAATTTAATACAGTAGTAATTGATCATTTTGCACTCAATATTTTCCTACTCATTTCATTTAAATCCCATATAAGTCAAACCATTAAGTGAAATTTTAATATAAACTAGTCAAAACATTTAGAGTAACAATATGTTAATATCTACCACATCTCAAAAATTACATGATGAAAGCTCATTAAAATTGGGAATTTTCATTTTATTAATTTCAAGAGGGAGAAGTGTACTAAACTCAAAATCATTGAGGACAGATTTATAGTCACTTATAAGGATCATAATAATTTTGGAAATATAAGTGACGGCAAAAAAGCTCCGAAAGACCCTTCTCATTCTTCCTTCTCTCCCTTCTCTGCTCCTTTGTTTTTCCTTCCCTGACAAGGGCTGAAGATGGCTTAGGTGGTGAGTTATATTTATATTAAATATATTAAAAATATTATTTAGTATCCAATGTTGAGGTGCCACAAACAACACCATTATTGCACTGCATGCTGCTTATAATTACTATATAACAGATGTTTTAACGCTGCAACATTGCAATGCACATTTTCATATTTTCAAAAAAAATTCATTTTATGTAATTTTGTGTTGTTAACGTATTTTGTTGAATATGTTATTATTTAAGTATGATTTATGAATGTTTTTTTGAGGACATTGCATATGTAGAAGATGATGGGTACTTTTACCATGAGATCGCATCCGAGTCAAAATTTGAATGTAACATGAAGCTTGAAATTATATTTGAGTTTGAACCTTTAAGAGAAATTGGACTTAAGCTTAAGTTATATTTTTGGACTTCACAGTTTTCTTTGAATAATACTCTCCATTTTACTCTTTCCATGGGAAGAAAGATTTTCCTGTGAATGCTATCTTAAGAATGTATCGAGCATTCTATAATTTGTTTTCTATTCCACGTAGGTCATTCAATCAGTCAATAGTGTTGTTACTTGTTGGGTTTGCTTTGTAAGATATGCTATTGACAGCATGATTTCTTTTTTTAATAACTTGTGATTCTTCTTTTCTCAATGAGATTTCAGATTATGATGCATAAGTCTGCCTTATCTGCACTCATATGTAATGACATTTGGCAGCTCTTTTATACCTCCCAGAGAGCATCAATATGATGTTAGCTTAAGCTTCATTTGGGATTGCTTTCTTACTGCTTCTTGAAGCAACTTTTTAGTATAAAAGTTAAAATTTTTGTACTAAAAAATTGCTTCAAGAAGCAATAAGAAAACCATCCCAAACGAAGGCTTCGTTTGGGACGGCTTTCTTACCGCTTCTTAAAGCAGGTTTCTAGTACAAAAATTTAAACTTTTGTACTAGAAAGCTGCTTAAGAAACTGTAAAAAAGTCATCCCAAACAAAACCTTAGTCTCAAAGAAAGCAAATTAGTTTGATGTGGAATGCATTTTTTCTGTTTGTCGTATTTGCAAGAAAGTTTCAACAATCATCTTTCTCAAATTACATCAGTTATCTAACTGCATTCTTTACCTCTCTTTTAAAATTGAGGGGGCCTTACTATTATATCAGTATCAGGAAAAATTGAGAAACAAAAATATTACCCTTTGTTTTGTTTTTACAAAAAAAAAAAAAAAAGTTCTGTTTCTGGGACCTATTCCTATTCCGTGAGCTCTCAATTCTCATCGGATTTTTTTTAAATACAATACTTCTAATAGATCTGCATTACAATACAAACTTTGTTGCTACTTCTTCTGTTAGCAAATCTGCAGAAGGTAAAACTATTGCTAGGCTATATACCAAATATTAATTCCCTGTATCAGATTACAAGATAGTCGAAAAAAAGGTATTGGCATATATATATATATATATATATATATATCATGGTGTCATAATTGATTTTGTGAGAAGTACATATTTTGGATTTGAAACAAGTTTGATTTAAAAAAGCCTTGTCCATTGTATCATAGCTGTGAGATTTAGCAGCCTAATTGGCTCAAAAACAAAATTTGTTCTAAGTTCTTGATATTGGTTTAGATGTAACTGAGAAATCTATTCAATAAGCAGGTTATATTATATGTTAACTGGGATTGTATTTCATTCTGGAAGGCTTGGTTTATAGCTAATCCTTTGGTTGCCTTTTGCAGGAAATTTACCATTTCCTAATATTACAGCTCTTACTTAAGTGGACATATTGCAGATTGACTTTTTTATTTAAGGGGATGATTGGTATTGGATTGGATTCAATTTTAACAGGATTTAGTAAATCCTGTAAATTCAGATTTAGCAAATCCTCAGGCTGTTAAATCCTAAAAATTATTTGGTATAACAAATGTTAAATCCTGTTAAGTCATGAAATCTGTTACCACATTAAATTTAACGTGAGCTCGTACAATAGAAACTAACAGGATTTTAGCAAAAGTTCAACAACACCTGAGAACTCTTAATGCTATATGGTATAACAGCTATAGTTAGAAAAATACTACAATAGCATTCATTCTTCTACAGCATTCCAAAGAACTATTTTAGTATAACATAGCATCTAATAGGAATCAGCAGCAAATCAAACACTTAATTGGCAAAAAAGGAAACAAAGAAGAATAGTTATTTTCGCAAGGACTGCGGCCGAGGGTTATTTTCGCAAGAACAGTTATTTCGGCCGAGGAATACCTGTGCGATGACGAAAGCTTTCTTGCAGGATTGTGGCCGAAAAAGCATAGCAGGTATCGCATAAATTTACTGTATTTATGCGGATTTACGCTGTAAATATGTAAATCCCAGATTTAAGTAGGCGTCAGATTTAGATGACCTCCGAAAACTATTTGGCTGGATTTATCTTAAATCAAGCTTAAATGCCACCACAAATCCGATACCAAACAGCCCCTAAAACCAAAGAAAATCAGAATATTATACAAAAGTGTGATTTAGCTAGCTTATTTACGGGAATCAACTAACAGTTGAGAAAAAAATGATAAGAACACAGAAGATCAGAAAAATATTTCTCAGTTGCACAGAATTGCATGTATGTCACGGTTACGGACCCAAACGAATAATATGTATCATTTCTCAAAGTTATTTAATGTGTATGTGAATCGAAGGGCTTATGTAGAAGATAAAAGAGTTCTCTTGCTTATCCAAATCAAATCAAGTTGGAGAAAAATGAATATTCATCATCTGACACAGCTGTGAATAACAAAAAATTAAACACAATGCAAACGACTGCTTGCTATATATTTCTTATTCTGATTCTTCAACTATTGCCTCCACTCGCAGAAGAATAAAGCCAAATGCCACACCAACGAGCACCAGGCCATTCATGATCGCTGCAATCTTGAATATTTCAGCTGCAGCGTTGCAGGTCGAGGAGAATGCTCCCCCTCTGCTCTTCTCCCCCTTCTTGCTCGGTGACCTAATTGAGCTCATAACCATGGAAAATGACTTGTCGGCGCATCGCGAGACACCGAGGGAGGTAACTGTGTTCTGCACTTTAAGACCTCCATAGGAGTTCAATCCTTCTATGTATGTTACACTGGCCTTCCTCTTCATGTTGGCGTTAAGTGCAGAGGTGGAGACAGCTGCTGCCGGAAAAGTTGCAAGAGATATGACTGCCATTTCTGTGAGGAAGCAGCGGCTGAAGCCGAAGCTAAGGAAAGGAGGGAGATGAGGAAATTATGATAGATTAGAGACAATGGAGAGGAGGGAAGTTGAGTTACCTGTTTCTGTTTCTGCTGCTTGATTTTGAATCTGGGAGTCGAGAGAAGCGGAGAGTGGTGTTTTGTATAGGAAAGGAAAGGAGAGGGATTGGATAAGATGAGCTTCGGGATGAATGGCTGTGGAGGAGATTACACATCCGTTTGGGACAGTATTTGTGGCTTTTATTGCCTTCGAATTGGGAGGAAAATAGTAAGCGAGAGTTGATAAGGCAACTGTGTGGATCATAAGAAAGAGAAAAATTATTTTGTGCGGATGTTTAATGTTGTTTGGACATCAATCAAAATATGTCATGTCATCTTTTTATTGTACCGTGGCTCGGTGCCGCGACATCCGGATGTAGAGCTGTGTTTGACATTCACACAATAGTTTCTCCCATAAGAGACCATGGTTGAGTGTTGATTTCATTATAGGAAAAATTATTATGTGTCAAGTCTGAATGATGTCTGGACTCCAATCAGGTAAAAACATCTGAATTTTTTTCCCTTTTATACATAAGAGAGAAAATTCATGTGTCTTCATATGATTGGAGTTTGGAAGAAAAATTACGTTTGGACTCCGCGCATAATAATCTCTCTCATTGTAGGGAGTAATAGTTTTCGTGGATCATAAGAGGCCCCTTTTTAGTGAGTATAAACAAAATTTGACACCTTTATTTTTTATTTTGTTTTTTTTTTCTTTTATTATTATTTTTTATTCTTTTTTAATCTTTTTTTTAATCAAAATTTGACACCATAAATCATATAGTTGGAGAAATAAGCATTGGCAGATTAAGCTTGCTTGTTTTGCAGTTTGTCCTGTGGGCGGGGTTGAAACTACTAATTTCACTAGTTTTTTAATCTAATTTGCGATGACTGCTCAACTTTCTAAAAAAAAAACAATAATTATATTCGCAAACTACTTAACAGAGCTCTCTCTGCAAGTTATCTTTTAATCTAATTTTACTTGTATTTTATCCTCTTTTGATTTTTATTTAAGTCAAAAGTACTTTGAATGAGCGAGTTTGAATTCATAATTAAGGGATAATTTTTTTTCTGCTTTATTTTTCAGATCATAATTATAATTTATCTTTGATCATTATTTTTTATTGCTTTTAAGAAAATTTTGTACTAAAATTTATTTTCTACAATGATTTTAAACGTTATTGTCTCTTTTATATTTTTCTGCATACGTCATAGAATATTTTGTGTGCGTGTGTTCTGAGACGAGGGTCTTGACGTGTTGGCTTGCAACATGCCCAACCCAATATAGAAATTTTGTGAAACTTTTTAGACTTTTTTCTCATCTTCTTCAAAATTTAACTTAAACCAAATGAAGGATCACAATGCTGCTAAAAATTGCTAACATAAATCAAATGATTCATCCTCATCAAAATTTTCTTTCATTATTCATCATCAAAACATATGTACACCGATTAGATTACAATGCATGGCTATAAATTAAAATATAAAGTAGAATAATTTAAAAACTAATTATGACTATACAAAAATCAAAAAGATAAATACCTATATAACCTCAAACAAATAGGATCACGACTTTGCTACTCAACTGACTCCTTTTTCGAGATCATGAAACAGAGTTATAGTTAAATTGTGAGTCATTAATCATTTATTAAGAATTGCAATAAATTTCAAAATAATTCATAATGATCATTGTACTATAACAATAGCGTTTGCAGTTATCATAAATGTAAATCTCAATGCAGAAAGTTAAATAAACAAGCACTTTATAGAATCACAACCGAAAATGATATATTTTTCTCAGGCTCTTATACCTCCCATCAGAAAAGAATTCAAAGAATTCTGATCCTTGTAACATATCAAAAACATATCCTAATGACTCACAATGTCTAACACCAAAATAAAATGTCCATGTCGTAGTAGAATGCACATTAGGCACTAGAACGTGCATTTAGCACCAGAACATAACTTCCTTCACCCAAACCAGATCTCCTTAAAATCACACATTTCAATTTAATAAGCATATAATTCATTGTATTTCAAAAGAGATAATTAAACTCATTTCAGAATATAACAAAATACTATAATGATAGGCAACATAATATATTATTGGGTAAAAATATATTGTTTCAAAATATAATTAAATTATCATAGCATTATTTTGAAGTTTTAATTGTACTGCAAATTTTTCTTAGAACCGTAATTATTTTCTAATTTATAAAAAAAGTCACATTTTTTCATTTACCCAATGAAAATTTCCTAGAAAAATACAGAAATATTCAGAACTATTGTATTTGTAACATATAGAAAGTTGGTAAGTGAAAGTTTTACATATATCAATTTATTCCCTATTTTTTGCTAATAGAATTATAAATTTTTAAAAAATGATATATTTTAAAATTAAGATAAGTAAAATGCAACTTATTTTGAACAGGATAAATTTCAGAAGTAAGCCGACAATTCGTATTTCCGAGACGCTCAGTTTGACTATAAGCTTGCTGAAATCGGAGATTGGGTACTCCCAAAATTAATTTTTGAAGTTTCCAACTAGCTTTTTCCTCGAGATTCGTGCCTGATCAAGCTAATTTTGTGATGATGTATCAATATTTAATATATTAGGTTGAAAACATGAATTGAAATCTTAATTTTTATTTTGTATAGAAACCCGATTTGTAGTGAAAATGCAAAATGAAATAAGCCTTTTTTTAAGAAAACTATATTTTATTTTACGTTTCAGCAAAATCCAAACACTATTTTGCGAGTTTGGTCATTTAATTTAATTTTAATTTTAATTTTTTTTTTAATCAATTCTCCGTCAACAAACTACGGGACTGAAGAGAGGAGCCCTAAACCCTCCGCCGCCATCTCTGGTGCCTTGTGAGCCTCTGTAATCCTCTTTCACACAGAAATGGCCTGCCGTGGCTCCATCTCAAGGTCGATCATCTCCATTGCACGTTCGTCTCCGTCTTCCCTCCGATCACCGGCGGCTCTTCCCCGTTTCCGCCCTCCTCGTATCCAACGCACTCGCCTCTTTGCTACCTCGAGGTGGAAACCCTATAACTCTTTCTGTTTCACGGTAGGGAATTATGTCGTTAACCAATGCTTTTTTTGTAGCAGGTTGCCGTGTGAGCTAGGATGCGCATCGTCACTTCTTCCGCTGCATAGCGTGATCGCCATTCCGCGACTCACCTCTCACCTCTCGGTCAGCGCGAGAGCGTGCTGTGAGCTGTCTCAGGGTACCTTTCGCCGCACTTGTCAAGATCGCTAGGTCTCTTCTTTTGAGTCTTCGAATGACAATTGATTTAGGATCTGCATTGAATAGAAAATGATGATGTTTTTTATTGAACTGATGAAACTATGATTAGATTGGATTATTCATGATATTATTGTTTCCAAAAGTTTTGTGATTTTGTTTTTTAAAGTTTTGGTTGATAAGGGGAAATTGGGATTTAGGTAGGAATGGAAAGGATGGTTGATGCGATAGAGAGATGGAGGCTGGTGGAAAGCCGGAGGGTGATGCGGCTTTCTTATTAATGTAGGTTTTATCCTTTACCTGATCTTATATTATCATTTTCATATTGAACCCCTTGGGCCGATTAAATGCAGGTAAGTATGTTCGGAATATGTAAAATGTAAGGAGCAATGCTTTATGCTTCTCAAACCCACAAATTCATTACATTTTCAACATCCAAATCTATGTGGCATCTATAATTTAGGAAGAGCAAATCACACTTTTATTACATTGATGGTGTTGAGAATATGTTACGTTGGGTGTGCTGAGCATTCTCTAAAAAAAAAAAATGTTTATTAGATGACATAGTTTTTTGTTTGGAATACATTTTATTTTGTTTGGTCAATCTGATTGAAAGTTCTAAATTTATTTATTTGGCTGGATAGCAATTTGGTGGGATAAAGGCTTGATGATGATGATGTTGTTGTTGTTGGAAGGATACCAATTTGTTCTATTCTCACACCCTTTTCCACTCTTCTATATGCGTTTAAAATCACATATAATTTAGGCTTCGTTTTGGACGACTTTCTTACTGCTTCTTAAAGCAGCTTTCTTTTAATTTTTATACTAAAAAGCAACTTTAAGAAGCGGTAAGAAAGCTATCCCAAATGAAGCGTTAGTATCAGCTTTTCTCCTGTGATTTTGCTTATCCTTCTGTTTTAGTAACTCAAATAGAACTCATTCCGTGTTACTAGGTGTGATCCCTGAATTGATCTATTTATTGTCTAGAAACGTTTTATGTAACATTGAAAAGTTTTTCTTTTAATATGCGTAATTCTTGCCTTAAACTTACTCATTGGTTGCATATTCCCATAAACCATTGCATCTTACCAATATATACCTTTGCTATTAGCCTGTCACGTAAACACATTTGCATGAAGGGCTTACTTGGAAGCGAGAGGAAGTGACAATTTCCACTTTTGAAAGTAGAAGTTGAGAAAGTCGCTTCTAAAATTACTATTTTATTGCCCAACATAGAAGTAGGGCTGCAAGCGAACCAAACGTTCGACGAACTACTCGTTGTTCGGTTCGATTAAAGCTCGTTCGTGATCGTTTAATTAACTAACAAACAAACTTGACCAATATTTTAAATACTCGATTCTTAAATAAACAAGCTTGAACACTAATGCGTTCAGCTCGTTTATGTTCGCGAACAACATCAGTTGATGTTCATGAACAAGCTCGATAAAAAGCTCGATTCGGGTTTGATTAAAACACCTTGATAAAAACTTAAATAATATGTTATTATAAAATTGATAAATATACATAATATAAAAACTTTCATGAACAAGTAACATTTCATATTTGTCCATGTTTGTTAGATTGTTTGTTTAGGATGTTCATGAACAAATTTAAGGTTTGCTTGTTCAATATATTGTTTGTTAAATATGTTCACGAACATAGCTTGTTTAAAGCTCGATAAGCACTAAACAAACGAACATGAACCAAACATGAACACCCTTAAATTAAACGAACCAAACATGAACACAAATAATAAAGCTCGAATCAAACACGAACCAAACATGAGCAAGCTAATGTTAAACAAACACAAACATGAACACTCACATACTCGGCTCGGCTCGGTTCGTTTGCAGCCCTAAAAGACATGATTCAATTTAGACATTTGAGATATAGATAATCATTACAAGAGAGATGAATTAAAATTCTATATTTCAAAGTTCAATAGAAATATAAATGAACATAAGATCAATTTGAATTAAGAGATTGAAAGAATCTG